CTCAGCTGATAAGGAGGAATTTAGAAAGGCAAACAGACCCAAAAAAGGAAGAAAAGGAGAATAAAATGTCAATTTCTAACACATGTACTTACACACGTATCCACACGAATCGGATTCATTAGATTGAATCGGGGTCAGACAGATTTTTCTTCGTGGGTGGGGAGAGAGCTACCACTTATTTAGACACGGTACGATCAAAGGATTTCACCGCCCACCTCCTTCCTCCGCACACACACTCTCTCCCACACACACACACACACACACACACACACACACACACACACACATACACTCCCCACAAAGAGTAGTGTACTTTGTAGCCTGCATAATTACGTAGGCTACTCGGAAGTCCAAAGTACCAAAGTGCTGGATCAACGTTTCTGTCCCCGGTACCAATGTTAACCCTATCCGTACGCCTGGGGTCATTTTGTACCCCCTGAGTTGTATTCTTCACATTTTAGAATACTTCAAGTACGAAGATCTCTTTGAAACTTTCAGTAGGCCTATTTCTTTTTAAAAAATCATTTTGATAGACTGCTATGCAAAGCGTACGGATCGGATTAACGAGTAAATTTCCTCCTTTGGAAAGTGGTGGCACAGAGTTCCCCTCGTCGTATGGATATGATAGTAAAACACGACCTACAGATAGGGTTAAAACCTTCAGATCCAGACAGTGTGTACTTGGTATTACTACCATGACTAATAGGGGTGTGAAAGAGACAGGCTGGAGAGGGGACTTGTAAATATTAAGATAGATGGAAGTAAAAACAGAAAGAGACGGGGCCAGTAAAAATTTTTTTCATGGATAGGTAGAAAAGCTACCATTTTAATTAAGCACGATACGATCAAAGGATTACACTGCTCCCCCCTCCCCCTCCCTACACACACTCCCACAAAGCGCAGTGTACTTTGTACATGTAGTCTACTCGGAAGCACCAAAGTGCTGGATCAACGTTTCTGTACCCGGTACCGGTGTTAAAACCTTCAGATCCACACAGGGTGTCCTTGGTATTGTATTACTAGTAGTAACTGGACTATTAGGGGTGTTGAAGAGACAACAGGCTGGGGCAGAGAGGGGGAGAAAGAGAGAGACAGAGAGAGAGAGAGAAAGAGAGAGACAGAGAGAGAAGAGGGGAGGAGAGAGAGAGACACAGAGAGAGAGAGAGAGAGAGAG